TTTTTTTACCATTAAAAACTTTTTAACAAGTTACAATATTGTTTTTCTAGTCAGAAGTCTCAGTTTCTTTGTTTTCTCATCTGACATGATGCCGCTCTCATGTCTGTATAATAAATATGAAACTACAGCCAGCAGCCTGTTAGCTTAGCATAAAGACTGGATATGGATGGTAATAGCTAGCTTAGCTCTGTACAACCATAGCGTGCCACTTTTACATTTTTGTTTTTTATACAGATTTAAACGTTTAATGTGTTGATGAGGTTTAGAGTTGCTGGGGGATTTTGTTACCTGTTGGACGGAGCCAGGCTAGCTGTTTCTCCCTGTTTCCAGTCTTTATGCTAAGCTAAGCTGCGACAACTGCTGGTTGTAGCTTCATATATAACAAACCGGTATAAGAATGGTGGCTTACACTTGGCAAGAAAGTGAATAAGCCTGCAGTACTTTCGTCAAAATGTTGAACTAGTCTGTTAAAAAGGAATAGTGCAACAAAATAAACTGTCTAACCTCAGTGTCTGATATTTTGCTAATTTTTCTTTTTTTTTTAAAAAGGACTGTAAAAGTTGCTGTGAAATGACAAATGAGTTTGCAGATTTCAGAGCAGGCGTATATGATTGACAAATATTATCTGACAGGAGGATCTGCCATCATGCTGAACAATGAGACTGGAGGAAGTTGAGAAAACAAGCACTCACTCTTCCAGCACACTAGAGACATTTCTGCACCACTTGCACTCATGGTTAAACACTTACACCCCATTAAGATGATGCACGGAGAGGTGGAGAGATGGACAGAAAGAGAGATTCAGAGATTGTGATGGTTCCCATATGTGCACAGAGACACCTGATATTCGTCCTGGTGGGTGAATCAACATTCTCCGTGAGTGACATAAATGTGAACTCGGTCTGTAAAATAGCTGAGGGAGAAGGAAATGGAGGGATTCTGATTTGTTTTTATTGGGAGGAATATTTAATAGATTTATGAAACCATAATTGTCCAGACTGCTGATTGGCACGTTCATCCGTACTGTAGTGTAAACCCTGCCTGCATTGAGGTTTGATCTAGATTATCACGACAATCAACACTTTCATTTTTCTTTTTTTCTTCCATCTTTATGGTTTAAAGATCCTGGCTCATCACTTTTACTATTCAGCAGTCTGAAAAACATTTGATGCGGACACCTGTGTTGGTAATATTCTTATATATCATGACATTTCCTCTACTGTGCGTGTGAGCCAGCCACTCAAACAGGTGTAACTGATTCTTTACACCTCCTTTTGCGTATTTGGTCAAGTCACTCTCCATTTCTCTTTTCTTTTCCGTCCTTCTGTGCGAATCCCATCTGCTTGGATCCTTTTGGTCAGGCTGCTCAGGAAAACATTTGTCATATTTTTTCGTCTCTTCCTCTCCTTTTCTCCCCGTTTTCCAAGTGTGTCTTGATTGATTTGTAGCATGTCTGATAGGTTTAGCCGTGGGGGCTCTGGGTAAATGGGATTTGCGTTAAATTTATGACTGCAGACGAGAGATATTGTTTGGCAACATTTCTATACACACACACACACACACAAGGTCCAGATGTTGTGTCCTCTGGCTGCCCCGTGGTGTTGGTAGTAATATAGCTTTCTAACGGCTGTGTTACGCTTCCTTAAGCTGGAACACTGTTTATTGGAAAAAGGTGAGCCGAGCGGCCCAGCACGGAACCCTTAATCCGCAATTGCACTTTTATCGCTCAAGCTGCCGAGCCCTGATGACATCTCTGTCAAAAGGCTCAAAAGCTGCACGTGCCTTCATATCCGGGTGACGGATGACATCATGGCGGTGCGATCTATAGAGCATGCGTAGCTGTCCGCAGTGAGGGACGTCAGGCCAGGTTTACTTGCCTTCAGGCCTGAAGCTGGTTGGCTCAGGCGGCGTAGTGGAGGCCTGAGGGATGCTGTAATGCCAAAACTAAGCCCGTCTGCTCCAGAGGCGGTTCATAGAAAGGTGATGTTTTTTTCTTTTCTTTTATTGACTCCCTGAAGGAGTAATTTGTCTTTTTGTCCTCCCCACTTTACAGTCAGGTCTAAAGGCAGGATAACAATGTGTACATGTTGAAGCTTTTAGCTAAGCTAACGCCAGTCAGTCCATCACTTTGGTAAAGGCTGAAACACCCACATATTGGATGGATTGCTATGAAACTTTATACAGACATTTATGGTCCCCAGACGATGAAAGGGTGATCCCCCGACTAACACCAGCAGGTTGATATTTTGGGGTGAAGTGTCTGGATCTATTGCATCTATTACAACTTTTTGAGCCTACGTTGGCACCTCCACTGAGCCGGTGGACTCGCTCTATTGAAACCAATGAAGGCGCTGCGTTTTCTTTAGTATGAAGGTGAGCTTAGTGTTGTTCAAAGGATTCTATTCCTCTTGTTAGATATCAACAAACACAGACTGACACTCTCATCTGGTGCTCGGCAATAGTCATGCATGTGATGATGCAGAATGTATGCTGTTTACTCTTGCATGTAACATGATGAAGACAATTGGAATCTCCTGCTTGGCAGCCAGAAATATGAATCAGACGGCTCCTAAAAGCAGTTCCAGTGTCAAACAAACCCCGAGCAGATTAAAATAGTCGGAGCTCATCTGGTTCCTAGTTTGGTCAGAGTACCAACTCTGCCTTGTCTTGCCCCTGGAAGGAAATCGGCCCGCGGTGCCGGTGATGAACAGCTCAATGGCAATGAATTACCTTCGTGTCTGTTTACACTGTGCCTGCTTTAGCCGTTCTCATTCCCCTGCTCTTTTCTGATCTATCGCTTTTTCCGGAGGTCTTCGTTTACTCTGGACCTCTCTCGTACATCTGGGTTATTTTTCAAATGACTCACTTCAAGGGACCTAACAAGGCATGTATGAGTCCAGTTACCTGCACGGGGCATACCGGCTGACTGCGGGCTGAAAAATAATCTTGAGACACGATTTAAGTGTTTATTCAATCCAGGACTTATTATCAACTCCGTCAGTGCTCTGGTAGTGCACCTTCAGAAACGTGTCAGGTCAGTGGAGTGTTTTCTAATCCCTCCTAGTGTATGAAGCTATTTGGGAACACACCAGGAGCCAGAAAACATCTGTGTTGCATACAGGTGGTGTTCGATGAGATACTGGTACGGACAGAGACGCATCATCCCTGAGAGAGGTGCAGAAGTGCACATCTGAGGATTTCTTTTCTTTTTAAACGTGATTTGATGTCGGCGTGTGCTCTCAACATATGTAACAACACAAGGCCTCTCATAGCTGAGAACAATAAACCACCAGTGTGGCCTATAAGCACACATTCAACTGACAGCGTTGATGATTTATAGCTTGTTCTGCTTCACTGACCGGGACGCTTCTTCTAAAAATCCCGCCCTTATCCTCCATTTTCTTCTGTCCCTGTAACTCAAGCTGCACCCGGAGCAAGCTGACGCATGTGTGTGTGTGTGTGTGTCATTTACTGTCCTCATGTATCAGAGTCAGAAGCTCTCTGAGAGGAAAGAGGATTTGGGAAGAGCAAACAGCGATGAAATCCTTCGTGACAAGAGATTTAACCAGAACCTCCGTTCCTCCCTTTCAGCAGTCGATCCTCAAACCACTTGGCCCACAGAGTGTGGCCAGAGCGACGTCAGCAAATAGTGAAAAGGAAGTGGGAGTTTAGCGAGAATTGATGGAGCCCACATGTTTGTGTCCCTCTGTGTGCTCAAGCTGGATTTAATATTTCTGTTCATCCCCATTTGCCATCTGCAATTTTAACAGTGACACGTGAATGAGGCCACACTCCGTTCAAAGGTTGTGAGTGTTGAGCCTTAGAAAATACGCATCTGTCCTCTGGCCATACGCAGCCATCCAGCCACGCTCCTCAGGGTGAGTGTGGCCATAAAAATGACAACAGTAATTTGGGGAGACACAGTGGGCTAAAGGAGCTAACGGCTCCTGTTCCGTGTAAACCCCATCGCTGACCTCTATGCCTTATGGGAAAGCTCACTGTAACTCTAGAATTAGTACACAGATACCAAGGCGCTCACTCACTGACTGACTGTGAGACTCTACAAGAAGTCAGGATGTAAACAACATGATTTTAGGGCAGTTTAAAGACCGTGTTACTTAGAAACCGCACTTTGAAGTAGTTAATTGACAAAGGCATCTTTATTTGTCCTCACGTTAACAATTACAGTAAATCTATGACTTCACAGCACATTAACTTACTGACATGGACCCTTCCACTTGCTTCTCGCTCCTCTTTTTACATCTTTACAAACATGCACATTCTCTCCTTTCAATGCCTGCAGTTGTTTTTTAGCTGTTACATTTGAAGACCACCTATTAAACCCGTAATGGCAGCGCTGTTTTGGCACATGTTCCCCATGGAAACAGCATAACAAAAGTTCCAGTGGCACGAACACAGACGCAGAGACACAGTTTGGTAATCTAAGATGTACTCGGGGCAGAAGTCATCTTGTCTGCTACATCAACAATAACAAGCGCTCCTTTCATGGGACAAGTCCTGTTCTGTCCAACCACAGGGATCTGTCAGAGGTCTGTCTTCCCTCTTTCTCCGTCTCTTTGTCTTCCCTGCGAATCATTCACTCATCACCGCCATCGTTATCTTGAACTACACTTCAAGGTTATTTTTAAAAGTATAGGTTTCATCATAGAGGCATTGACATCAAGCAGTTAGGATCAAGCAGATGTATTTAATTTGTCTCATGTTGTCGTCTGTTTGAAAATGTTTCATTGTTTGTCCCACAGAGTGCCAAGAGCCTTCAGAACAACAAGGACTCACGCATCCTGTGGGCCAAAGACGACTTTTTACTCACCACCGGCTTTGATATGGTGAGAAACTCTTTCTACATCTTTCATTGACCTGGAGTCCTTAATTTATAATCTGTCGTTATCTAACGAAGCAAGAACATGTGCGTAAGTTCTGGGGTTTGACCACGAGAAGCGACACAGATTAGTTAGGAACTGAAGTTGCTGTTTGTTAAATGTAATTATGGGAAAACTACAATGACAGGGTCGTTCCTTTAATTCCAATAAAATATGAATTAATTAACATTAATACTGAGACAATGTTACAAATGCCCTGATGCCTTCTATCAACAACAACACACACACACAATATTGATTCATGTTTTAGGAGGAATACAGAAGTTTAACAAGGTTTGCTTGTTAAGCTGTTTGTACTCTTTATTTGCTTAAAGCTCACAATATTTTCTCTACCATTTTAAGTGTTAAGTGTCTTTGTTCACTATATAGTGCCACCAAATAAAAAGTAAACAATGGAATGACATATGTTCACTATCATGCACACACACGCGCCAATTGCATGCCATGCAATATATTGCCTTGGCCCTCTGAGACAGATGGACACAGTATAAATTAGTGCAAATTACCATCATGCATTACTGCAAAATCATGATGATTCATAAGAGTAACTTCTTTATAACTCGAGAGTTTAATTTAGTTTGACCTCATCTGTTGACATGAATGTTTGTGTTGACAGTACGTACTGTAACTCCTCATGGTGTGTGTGTGTGTGTGTGTGTGTGTGTGTGTGTGTGTGTGTGTGTGTAGATGCGTAGTCGGGAGGTCAGGCTTTGGGACAGCAGGAAGCTGAGCTCTTCGGTCAGCTCGACGTCACTCGGCATCTCCAGCGGGTGAGTACTGCATCAGTGTGAAACCACTCCCCCCCCCCCCATAACTGACACAGTCACGACACTGACAGTGTTGTACTTGAATGTCTGCGATGTGGATATTGGTGTGTGGCATTTTAATTGCCTCTATTGAACGATGTACAAAGGGGCCTCCGCACATTGTGGTGCTGGAGGGGCGTGCAGACCTCCCAGAGCTCTTAACACCGTTCCCTCACATTCCGGCCATTTCCTGGGTCGGAGACGCACACAGAGACTCCTATCCTCTCTCTGCGCCCCTCTGTCCATAATCACTGCGAAGGGTCAGGCCAGCGGTTTACACACATCATCACTTCTCCCTTCAGCTCACCGCTTGTCATTTCTGTCCGTGACCTTCTCCAAAAGCTCTCCGTTTATTTTGTCCAAACACGGGCTGCGGAGGACCGGAGGAGAGCGGGAGCGTGGCCGGGCTCCAGAGATGAGAGGAATGGAAAGATGGAGTGAGGAGGGAAGGGAAGAGAGACAGGGTGGGAGTGAGGGTTCCTCTGTTAGATCCAAATCATGCATTTTAGTGCTATTATAGACCGTTTGGTGGGCCAAGTCATTCCAGACCGTACTCTGCCAGGCGATTCAGCACGCTGTGGTGGATCAAATGCATTTATTATAATGATTATTACCGTAAAAAGGCAGAAAGGTAGCTGCTCACAGCTCTCTTTGGTAAAGCTGTGACAGCACAGATTCCACATCTGTTCTTTGGCACAGATATACGAGAGTCAGTATGTGCCCAAGTTTGGTTGCAGCAAGGACCAGAAAGTATGGAGATAATACAGTATATTTGATGTAAATGTATGTAAAAAGGAGTATACGGTTTGTTTTTTTTAGCCCAAGACTATAGCAGGGAAGCAGCCTCTTAGGAATGTGATTGTTTTTACCTTCCCTTTGGTATCTCTCTGTGTGTGTGTGTGTGTGTGTGTGTGTGTGTGTGTGTGTGTGTGTGTGTGTGTGTGTGTGTGTGTGTGTGTGTGTGTGTGTGTGTGTGTGTGTGTGTGTGTGATGGACGCATAGGAGTTGACACAGCGGGGTCCTAAATAATACCCTCCACTCTCCCTCCTCCCTCTGCTCGCCACTCATCTCCATTTCCTCCACTTCCTCCTTCATTTGAGTGAGACAGATAGTGGCCTGTCTGAGTGCATCTTTGGAATTCATCGCATTGTTTGGTGCCAGCATACTTGTCATGGAAATGGTGGATATCCGATGCCGCTGTTGGTACATTTTCTTTCTTCCTATTACCAAAGCAAACATGCTTATTGTGATGCATATCTTCAAACCAGTAACAAGTCTGGGAAACATACCCACAAAACAGCACCTCAGGAAGTGGGTGTCTGAGAAAACCACAGACGATGGTGTTAATTAGTTAATTTTATTGCAAGGTTTTGTTTCCCTGGTGTCTGGTAGACAGAGGAATGTTGAAGTTTATTTAGTCTCCGTTCTGTGGTTGTGATGATGGCGCGACTTGAAGAGAATGTACCAGCAAAGTGAGCATTTCTGCTCCTCTGATGACGAGCTGTTCAGTGTTCCTGATGCCTTCTTTCTCTTTAGTGTCTGTCCACACTTTCTTGCTGGAATCCACATTAGATTCATTAGATACATTAGCTTTGAGTTTAAGAAAAAGCCATGTTGGTTTCCTGTAATCCAACGCTAGTTATTCAATGTACTGTGATTATTTTTCATTGGACATAATTGCTGGGGTGTGTGCCTAACCCATCTGCAGTGTGTCCTGTATTAAATCACTTCAATCATATGCCGGTATGGTGTGTTAGGGAGCGATCGCTCCCAAGGCCAGATGCCTGTAGACTAGCACTGATATAAAACAGGTAGGCAATTAAACGGCAGATGAGACCTTGCCCTTTACTGCCATTCTGGCTTTTCCCCTTCTTTCTCATTCAAGCTTCTTTGCTCCAATATTTCGTTCACCCTTCTCCCTCGCAGCTCTTCTCCCCTGCCCCCACCCTCTGTTTAAATCAAGCTGCAGCGGTCCCGTCTGGGCTTTTGACCAAAGCTGCCGAGGTTTCATTCTTGTCTGCTAATCTCCACAGTGGGAAACATCCAGAACACGGTCAAGAAATAAACAAAGGCTTCAGGAGTTAAATTGGAGGGGGGGGAATGTAATCACTACTACTTATTTAGTCCTATCCATCGAAGAGCCGGCCAAACACTTTGTGAAGCTACATAGCTGCTAGACGTAGTGTGCAATCAGCAAAACGCTGATAACAGAAATAGCTGGCCAGGTAACGGTCAAGGTCAAAATATTTGTTGTTGCTGGCTGGTAACTCAGTCTTACTGTATCGTTTTTTGATCAAAGCTTTATAATGCCTCCTTCCACTCATTCTGGCCACTATTCATCCACTATCTCACTCTGCAGAGAACATTCATTCAGCTTTCTGCATCGGGCTGCCCTCGAGTTCCCTTTGGCCTTCAGGGTTTTAATAGTCTGTTATCACGGTGGGTTTTCTTTGGATACTTTTCTTCTAGTTCAGCATTACCTCAGTGCGTGTGTGTCTTATGTGTAACAAAGCAGCTATTACATAGACATTACGCAATAATCAAAAGGAGACCTTGTCTCCATTTTTTTCTTTGCACTTGATAGATTGAACCGTGCCCGCTGAGGAAGCTCAAAGTCAAACATCCCAAACGGGGCATTTCCTCCCTGTCATTTTAGGCCTGAGGTGCACATAAAGATGGATCTGTTCTTTTTCTCTTTTCTTGCCTGTTTTTAATTAAAAGAGCCGTGGAAAAAACGGTGTGTAATCGGAGCAGCGGGCTGGCTTGTATCAGGTTAGCTGTGCTCGTCCACAGCATTCAGTAGGACTGTTTTCGTTGGAGTGTCACAACATGAGGAGCCCCGGGAGCTTGAGCCAGTAATATGGGGTTGTGGGTGGAATATAATTTGGATGGAGAATAATGGATGGGGGGGAATGTTTATTTTTTGGTTTTGGCTGAAATGAAGACTGAAAAATTGAGGGATGTAGGTTGATGGGCCTGAGAGGGGTGTTTTTAACTGTGCCGAGCTAGCTATTAGTGCTTGCCTGTTTTTCCATACAGATCTGGACATTGGAGAACAATGTGTATTTCTGTGTACCGCTCTCCCCCTCATCCTCTTCCCTTTTTGTAAACCCGAATTATAATAATGAGTTTAATTGGGCCTCTAAGCCAGCTGCAATCAGTGAACTTTACAACTTGGCACGATTGCAACCAGCTTTGCCGTGTAAACGCTCGAGACATCAGGACAATTATCGACACTCCTCCGCTTTAGCAGCTACACACACAGATTCACCGCACTCAGCATTAACGCAGTGAACTCTGGATGATGTGTGCCTGTAAAATAGCTTGTGATGGTGTCGTAAAGCGCTCTCCGAGGGTCAGAATTCAGCATGACGAAACTTGAATCTCAGAGAAAGTTCTGGCCTTAACCCTTGTAATTGTCCTCAGTCACTGCCAATGCTCTGCTCCATGAGCACATACAAGTGAACATGTCATATACCGCCGGGACCCCGATGCCCACCGGTATCCCCGCTGCCGATTGGAGAGGACGTGAGCCTGTCCCTGGAGAGACAATTTTCCCAAACCCAGTCCCGGGTTACACAAAGAACTCGCCCTCTGAGGCGAGGACCGCTGATAGGCTGTGCCGTTGGCCGAGAAAGAGAGACGTTTTGCGGTAGCTGCATGGGAGCGCCCCAGGTGTGATGCACGTACTCACACCCTCTATTGACTCTCCACAATCTATTCCGGTGTGTTTTCCTAGCCGGGTCGTGCCTGGGAGCGGGGCCCAGTCATTGGGTGTAATTGAGCCAAACTCCCTTTAATCAGACGGATTGAGAAGAAGCCTTGTGCCCCCAGAAGGGAATCTGCCTTTTTACGGAACAGCCCCCCCCCTTCTTCTCTCCCATCCTGGCCCTGGCGCTCTAAAATCAGTCCCAGATGAAGGCTTTCCTGTGGGGATTAGGTGCACAACCAGAACCAAAAGAAAGAAAATGCCACAGAATGTTTCAACAATCGTTTGACCTTGCCCCTTTCTCAAAGTTCACTCCATACGAGGGAACAGGTAGGAGCTTTGTTGTTTGGGGTACAGCTCGGGAAGTCATGTTTAAGGTGGAGGTAAAGGCAAACCTCAGGGTCAAGTCGATAGTTGAGCTGCTGCACCCCCCCCTCCAGGATGGCCTTGGTTGGGGGGGGGGGGGGGGGGGGTAGAGATGTGACCGCACACGCTCTGTCAAAGAAGCTAAACTCTGTGTTCTGACAGTTGAAACATGGTGCCTGGAATCTGTTAGTCATTTGGGGTTTCAGCTTGTGATTCAGTCGAGGGGGAGTTTGACCAGGAAAATAGGACGAAAAAGGAGGAGGAGGGAGCTCTGAAATCCCCTCTTTATTTTTTCTATGTATATATTTTTCGATATCGTGCCTCTGTGAGCTTTAACAGCCTTTTCATTGAAGCCCACGTGGCAACAGCCTTTTACTTCATAACACCTCATTGAAGAAGTCATCTGTTCCCCTTTCATGCCCTGTGATCAACCAACAGAGCGAATGGCCTTTTTATTCCTATTCCCTTCTATCCTGTCAAAAATACAGCCGTTATCCTTCAGTGAATCCTATTAAAAAAAATAAATAAAAAATCCATATCTGTGGGTCATATTTGACCTGTTTGTTCCCATTTGTCCCTCACTCCTCTGTTCCTCGCTGTTCTTTCTCTCTGTCCTGCACAGAGGAAACTGAATGAGGTAGCTGAGTTTTTGAAGGTGCCGGTGTCTGGGATTCTAATTAAGTTTTTTTTGTTTTTTTTGTTTTTTTTAGAGCAAAGCCTAATGGAGCCTCTCCGCTCTGGTAAAAACACATGGAAGTATGTGGAGCCTTTGGCAGGGGATATTTAATATAATTCACAGAGGGTTTTCATTTCATCCCGCAGGTATGTGCTCAGCACTCCAGGGATCAGAAGGACCCTTTTGTGTGAACTCGCCACGGAAGGAAAAATA